ATGAGCCCCTAATAAAATGTTAAAAAAAAAAAAAGTGATAAGAGTTGTATGGACCCCTAATAAAATGATTTGAAAAGGAAAAAGAAAAAAAAAAAAAGGGTGTGCACACATGCATGCGTGCCTGCATGCACGCACGTACGTGGATGTATGCACGTTTTGCATTGGAAGAGTATGTGTCCTGCATACACAGCTTCCCAGCCTGGAGTTGCTCCAGATGAGCTGTGACATCTCTCAGTGGAATCCAGTTTCCTGGCTGCAGACTTCCTGCCCAGGGAGCAGGAGCCAACCAGGAGGCCTGCTAACTGCCCCCATACTCCCAGAACATGACAGTCAACAGGCTGAAGCTGGCCAGGGAGTGTGTGGGGAAGCCAGACTGGGTGTGGCCTGGGGGGCAATCTCAGAGTAGGACCAGTGGTCTGCAAAAAACCAGGGCCTGAGGAATGGGACACCCCCCTTGGCCCCTTATTAGCAAATCGGCGGTGTGGCAGTAGGCAAGTTGCTGCCACCCCACCCTGGGCTCCCATTTGCCCTTCTATGATGGGCCCTCTGGTTCCACAACCACACTTGTCATTTGCCTGCCTCCCTGCCAGCCAGTGCGGCTTCCCAAACAGAGGGCCTATTGAGAGCCGTGGCCAGAGCCTCTGGAATTCCCTCCAGCCTCAGTCAGGGCCAGACTTGGGTAGTTTCTGTCCCTCCAGTTCCTGCCCTCAGATGACCTGTCCTCCGGCCCCAACTGCACTGGCAACTGGAGACCTTTTCCTTCTTTCCTTCCCAGAAGGGACTGGGTCCCAGGGGGAGGGTAGGACAGGGCACAGGCAGGCAGCTGGGCAGCCTGGCGTAAGATGGAGGGTGGCTGGGGCACCCAGCCCAGAGCACACCCCAGAATGCTTGAGCGGCAGACACAGAACAAAATCTGACAAACCGAGTTTTATTAAGAAAAGCATATTAGGAATACCGGCCAAGCTACTGAATGAGGCACATCGGTCCCCTCTCTGCCCACCTTCCCCTCTCCACCCTCCCTTCTGGCCTTTGGTGGCCACTGTAGGAATCCTCTGGGCCTGCAGGTAGCCCCAGGCCTTTGTGCTGCGAGCTGTCCAGCATGGTCTTGGGCTGGAGAAGGTCCTGGTGTCCAAAGAGGATGGCTTAGGAGGCGGTCTCCAGCATCCCAAAGTCCTGGGCCAGGTCAAATGGCTGTCCCTACGACATTCGGCCTCAAGTGGGGAGTAGAGGCTGGCTTCCGCATTCTTCTCACATCTGGCAGGCCGAGGAAATGCCAGGAGTCCGGAGGCCATGTGGAAGGCACATCTAGAAGAGCCCAGAAGCTCCAGATTGCTACAGGCACCTCGGAATGGACAAGGCACGGAAAGACCCGGAGGATTCTGCTTCTGAGTAAGGGTCCCTGGGCCAGGGGCTCCGGACAGGGGCTCTCAGATGGTTGGTCCTGAGTTGAGCATGCAACTGGTAGCTGGAGCTAAAAACTCACTTTGGGTTTGGGGCCGCAGAACTCAGTTCCAGGTGCCTGGCATCTTGTGCCCAAGCCACAGCCCAGGGAGGAATCAGGAATCCCCCAGGATGAAGGTGACAGTAGTCTTCGTCCATCTCGGTTCTTCTCCTGGTAGTATGGAAGCCAGTGGGAAGGGAAAACTACTGAACAGAAGTGATTCTCTCTTGCCAGCCTCCCTCAAGGGCCGAAGAAGACTCTGAAAACTTCCGCTGGCCTGGGACCAGAGAGGTGTGGCAGGCTAGGGAGATTGTAGCACCCGGATCAGCACCGGCAGGCTCTGGGGACCTCCATGGCCCAAGATCCACATGGAAACCTGCAACAGAAGAACCAGTCACCAAGCACCGTCTCCAGTGTCTCAGCAAATCCCACGCCCTGGTGCTGGTGGCAGCAGGGAACAGTGACCACCCAACTGAGACGCCAGCCTAACTGAGACATCGAAGCACTCAGCTGACCCTTTGGGCTCCAGTGTTCTAGAATTTCCCAGAGAGAGAAAAGGAGGGGGGGGAAAATCACAATAACAGTCTGCAGCATGCATTACCTCTTAGTATATATGGAGAAAGATGAGGCTGTCTACTCCGATAAGCATGAAGAGTCCCAGGAGCCCTACCGAGCAGTTCTACTCTGTCCCACAGGGCCACCATGGGCTGGAAAGCAACCCAAGGCAGTGGGTTTTTAGATTGTATGGTTAATGAACTCAGCTGCTAGGCACACTGCTGGAGATGTGTGTCCACCCAGAGGTCGCTCATAAAAAAGGCCTGATGATGTGCTTTTGAAAATAAGGTCCCTGAAAAAATCTTACCATAGTGAATGATGGGGGGAGTGTGGAGTGGAGATCCAAAGCCCATTAGTAGGCCACTGGAGATCCCCTTGCAGAGGGGTC